GTCCTGGTGTCACATACACCCGCGCTTGACTTATTTGTTTATTTTTTTTAATATCTTTCTTTATGGAGTTCAGAGAGGAAGAAGAGGGAGAGAGAGAGAGAAACTTAAATGATAAGAGAATCATGGATCCGCTGCCTCCTGCACGCCCCCTACTGCGGTTGTGAAGGGCGCGTCACTGTGGCTTCCATCGGCATGTCCGCGGGACTCATGGTGCCGGGCACCTTTCATACACTGTCAGCTTCCAATCCACTTTGTAGCGGACGTTGTAGCCAGAGAGGAAGAAGAGGGAGAGAGAGAGAGAAACTTAAATGATAAGAGAATCATGGATCCGCTGCCTCCTGCACGCCCCCTACTGCGGTTGTGAAGGGCGCGTCACTGTGGCTTCCATCGGCATGTCCGCGGGACTCATGGTGCCGGGCACCTTTCATACACTGTCAGCTTCCAATCCACTTTGTAGCGGACGTTGTAGCCGGATAGAAGGGAAGAGAGGGATTAGGAGGGAAGGAATAAACTGATTACTTGAGTTGCCAACCTCCCCCCCACCCCAAAGTAAATGCATCATTAGCATCGTTCCGGTTAGAAATCAGTATATTCACATACACCTCAGAGCTTTAAGCATCAGCTCATCAGCTTATCAATGCCTCTGAGTGGCGACTCCGTGTCGCTGTTCTTGCTCCGCCCACCGCTAATATGTGTCGGTCCCCGTGTGTGCCCGGCCTGCTGAGGGCGCAGGGGCAGCCCGAGGAGACCCAGGCTCTGCCTCTGGGCGTGTAATTTGCCCGCGGAGACACGTTCCCTTAAAGCATCTAGTGTTCTTGCTGTTTGCAGGTAGAACTTCTCGCATCTTCCGTACTTGATTTTTAAAATTTGTTTGCCTGACTAGATAACAAAAAGGAAATGGAAAAAAAACTCAGACTGCCATCTGGGAACAGGAGTTCATACGAGGGGTCGGTCTGTCCTTCCCTAGATTGAAACCATGTGCTGAAAACCCCATCACCGTCCCGACTGCGCAGTGTTGCTGTTTTTCTCCTCGCCAGCCTTTCACGTGGTGGAGTGAGCGGAGCAGGGCTCCCAGGACGAGGGGATCATGCAGAGGGCTTCCCGGCTGAAGAGAGAGCTGAGCCTGTTGGCCACTGAGCCACCTCCCGGCATCACCTGCTGGCAAGACGCGGACCAGATGGGTGACCTGAGAGCGCGTAGGTGTCCCGTCGTCGGGAGGTGGCCCCTGACCCTGCTGCCGGCCGTGCTAAAATGCGAACATTTTCCCTTCTTTTCACGTGGGGTACGGTCTCGATGTCAAAGCGCCCACCATCTTTCTGCCTAACTCATTTACACTTATCAAAGGTTTGCTGGACATTTCTCCTTTGCCCTTTATTCTACCCTTTGCTGGTTTGCAGCCAAGACCTGGACGTCCGCTCTGAAGCAGTGTTTAGACCAAAGATCAGCATCTCAAATACCTGTGAGGCCAGACAGAAACGACTAGAATCCTCAGTCCACACAAGGCCAGTCTGCAGGTCATATTGGATCCATGCCCAGCATTTTCCACTTTTTTTTTTTAACCCTTACCCGAGGATATGTTTATTGATTTTTAGAGAGAGGAAGGGAGAGAGAGAGAAACAATGATCGGTTGCCTCCTGTGTGCCCCTGACCAGCAACCGAGGTATGTGCCCTGAGCAGGAATTGAACCTACAACCTTTTGCTGCACAGGATGACACTCCAACCCATGGGCCACCCGGCCAGGGCTTCCGCCTTTTGGTCTTCTGTGCCTCCTTAGTGTGACACTTTTGGGGTCCGTGGTGCATTGTGTGCGGAGAGGTTAAAGCCCAGAGAGACTTCCAGTCCTCGACCCAGCTTCTCGCGACGGCCACAGGCTTCAGAGGTCCACGTGGGCGGTGATTCAGATCATCTGATTGCCTCTGAACGGTCTTTCCTTTTCCTTTTAAGAAATAATAGGTGGGGCCAACACACCTTATGAAAAAGGAGTATTCACGCTGGAAGTGACCATTCCTGAGAGGTCAGTGTGGGTCAGACCCTAAACTTCCAGGGTAGAGCCCAGCGAGTGGGAGGCAGAGCCGCGCAGCGGGCAGAGGGCCTGGATTTTAATCCTCGTCTAACTGTGACTTTGTGTGAAGGACTTAGAGCAGCGGTTCTCAACCTTCCTCACGCCGCGACCCTTTCATACAGCTCTTCATGTTGTGGGGACCCCCAACCATAAAATTATTTTCGTGGCTACTTCATCACTGTCATGTTGCTACTGTTAGGAATCGTCATGTAAATATCTGATAGGCAGGATGTATTTTCATTGTTACAAATTGAACATCATGAAAGCTTAGTGATTGATCACAAAAACAATACGTAATGATATATGTGTTTTCCAATGATCTTAGGCGACCCCCGCAAAAGGGTCGCGACCCACAGGTTGAGAACCGCTGACTTCGAGGGTGAATAGGCTGATCCAGGTGGAGGGCAGATGAGTGTCTATATGCTGTCATTTCTCCTTGCTGTTGTTTGTAAATTTCCATAATAATGTGGGGGGAGGAAAGGTCTGCCTCTCGAAGGCTGTCTTCCCCAGGGGTCACCAGGAAGCTGTTGGTACACGAGGCAGCATCTTAAGAAACTCTCTGTTGTCCGTCGCTGTCACAGGTACCCATTTGAGCCCCCTCAGATCCGGTTTCTGACTCCAATCTATCACCCAAACATCGACTCCGCCGGGAGGATCTGCCTGGATGTCCTCAAGTTGCCGCCCAAGGTGAGCGGAGGGGGAGGGCGGGC